TGCTCTGTCTAGAACCACACCCATTCCCACCCGACAACAGCGTCTGAAGCATCGTCATATCTGACGACGAAGACATTACCGTTAGACGAGCACGACCGTGAGGATGTGAAAACGCTGGCGGATGCACGTGTTTCTTCGAAGCACATCTCCAACTTCTTGAATGATCGGATTGGTATGTAAGCCAGATTTGTTTTGTGGTTGTTATTTATTAACGTATTTTTAACTTTGCTTCCTCTTTTTTCTTCGATTTTCAACAATAGGCTGTAAGATTACTCCACAGCAGACCCGAAACCTCATCCGCAACATAATGGGAGGTGATTCTGCTGAAGTCCGACTGAAGGACATGTTGCATGCGCTGCGTCAGTTGGATGACAGCGACGTCCTCGTGATGCAAGACCAAATCGGTATGACAACAGGTATTATTTTACAGACAAAGGTGCAGAAGCTCATGTTCGAGCGTTGGGGCGAGACTTTAGCGATGGACTTTACCCACGGAACAAATAATCTGGGTTATCATCTGGGTGCGTACAACAACAATTATTGCAACTTTTCGTTGTCATATACAGATCATATAACAACCTTAACTTTTTCAAAGTTGCTGTACGATTAACTCATTTTTTTTCTCTTAGGGAGTTTGGTCGTCACCACAGCTACAGGTCGAGGATTCCCGGTTGTCGATTTCATTTGTCTCAACGAACAGGCCTTGACGATTACCAAAGTTTTGGAGTATTTCAAGGACAAAAACCCAGGGTGGAATCAAGTTCAATCCGTGGTAATTGACAAGGATTTCGTGGAGTGGGGCGTGTTAAAGGTTGCTTTTCCAGGAGCCAAGATTCTGCTGTGTCAGTTCCACGCTATCACCTATTGGAAGAAGGTGATGAAGCGACCAGTGTATCGACTAAGAGTTTCGCAATGTGAGGAACTACTGGTGCGGATGTCAAAACTCCTTTACAGGTTTGTAAGGTTGCTCTTGTAGGTGTATCCGGAGTCTAACCACTGCGTTCCTTTGGTTTCAGCAACTCTTGTGCTAGATACAACTTCCACTACGATGCACTGCGTCAGTATTGCAAGGACGAAAAGCGCGAGGCATTTTTTGCCTATTTCGATAAAAACTGGGATTCCTGTCGTGACATGTGGGCCAACTTTGCTAGAGGGAAAGTTTTTACTGCTGGCAACACTACAACGAATAGAATTGAGTCAAACTGGAACCAAGTCAAAATGCTGTTGGGACACAAAACAAGAATCGACAAGACAATTGCTGGACTGCTCCAGCATCAAATGACTATTACGCAGAAGATTGCTTTCACGATTGGGCTTCAACACTCATCTTCACGCATACCCAAGACGGTGCCGAAGTTCTTGCGATCAGTGGCGACTAGGCTGTCTGCTGATACATTTGCGACGGTGAAGAAAGAGTGGGAGCGCTTCGTCAACCTGATGGCTGGTGCTACAACCAAAAGGGTACCAGGAAGTATTTCTTTCTGGAAAATTGACAGTGGGAATGAGCAATTTGTGTGCGACGCTAGAGAATGGACTTGTACCTGCCTATTCTTCACGAGTCATCATCTACCGTGTCGCCACATTATGCAATTGGCAGAATGTGGACTAGGGTTCAAGGTTTTACCAGTCGTTTCGATCGATGCCCGGTGGAGTTTGTCGGTAGCTCTGGATGTGAAAGGCGATCTTACGGCGGCAGCTGACTTACTAAAACCCATCGTGCAGATGTCGAAATTAAGGTCGTCCAAGGTAAAGTTGCCGGAACAGGATAAGGTTGCTGAAAGAAGTGGAAATTCTGGGGCTCCTAGAGCTGATGCTAAGACGCCCAAAGAGGTTGCTTACGTTCGACTTTACAGGAAGGAGCGTGCCAACCAGGTGGTTCCATCCTCTTCGGAAAAGTATTCATACGCAAAAGCAATGCTAGAACCTCTTCTGGAGCACCTATCCTGTCTATCCAGCGCTGCCTTTTATCAAGAGCTCTCCGCTTGGAAGGACGCGGTACAGATTGGACTCAACCACGCTGAATCAAACTGCGGAAGAAGAGATCACAACACAGACGACGGCGATCAAGACGGTCTCTCCTCTCTTGATCCACTAGACGCCATGGATACAGTGAAATTAATGGAGGAGCTGGAAGACTACATGCCCGTCACGGATGGTTGCACCGATAGCGGAGGTACATCTGAGCTCGACGAGAAAATTTCAACTTCGGAGCCTGGTGAAGCTATATCACATACACCTAAACCACCAAGCCGCGCAGTGGATATCATAAACCTCCCGCAACCAAAACGCCGCGGCAATTCCAGGGTGACGACGAAACAGCTTCGACAAACTACTTTAACTTCTGGACAACCCCGTTTAGCTGTTCACAAGTATCCGAGTGGATTGACAGTGACACTAGATCATTTCGTTCGCTGGGCAAGGAACACGCCAAATTTGAAATTCGTCATGGAGACGCTAGCCAAGTACCCAGTCCAGCTTGAAGACCCATACCTGAGAGCACGTACCATTGAGTGTCGGTGGGAAGCCAAGCGGCCAACGGATTATATGCACGCGTTCGCACTTCCAGTAGATCTCAGTCGGTCTCTCCAAGCAGCAGTCACGACAGCATGGAAAGACCAGAACGCGCCTGATCCACTGACCGATACCGTGAAGAAACATGGGGTCAGGCTCGATATTGTCGCTACTATCGATCCAAAACTCTGGGAGTTTAGCAGGTAAGGTTGTTGTACCGCTAAGGTTGCCTTATTATGGTTGCTATAAAAAGGTTGCGCTAACGCATGGTTGCTATATATTTCTAGTCGGTTCGTCGGAGCTTTAACTACATTCCACGCCATCAAAGCAAAGTGCCAAGTGTGGGTCGAAGACCGAAAATGGTTGGAGCAAGATTGGAAAAAAAAATCCCCTCGGAAGTGAGCCTGTTATCAAAAGAGACAAAGACGCAAGGCTTGTCAATCGTTGCTATCTGCAATAGACATCAAGATCTGGCCAACGAAGTGATTGGAAAGTTTGCGTCAAGTCGATTGCTTACGGAAATTCGGACGCTAACTGGAACTGGATCGACCACTTTCGAAAATATCCTGGGTGGCCTATGTCGGGGATGGCTGAACGACACTCATATAGACTTCTGCCTGCGAGCAATTGGAGGTGCTGTAGGCGGTTGCTACGTGATCTCGTCGCTGATGTGGGATTTTGGGTGGCCATCTACACCTAAAATACCTATTGGACAAGTCAACTTTGTCCTCCACGCAGTGCACCTGGACGACAACCATTGGGGTGTTGTTATTATCCACTTGCAAACGACTAATACGAGTGTACGAGTACATGTACACATGTACGAGCCTCTAATTAGTGAATGTTACCACAAGAGCATGGAGAAGGTATGGGAGGGCATACCTAAAGACGATCATGACTCTGCAACCGAAGGAAAAGAAGGCCTTCGCGGATACCTCGACAGGTGGCTCACCGTTTCGAAGCCGAATTCGGAGATTGTGATTGAAAACGTTGAGTGGGTATTATCGCCGCGGCAGCCTGATGGGTCTAGTTGTGGTGTGTTAGTTGTAGCGCAGTGCTACAACTACGTTACCGGTAACATTACAGAACAGACCTACGACGTCTCCAAGAACGATGTCAAAGTAATGCGCCTTCGCATTCTGTGGACAATCCTGCATATGTCCAAGGAGATACCTATCTCCGACACTGACGCTGCAACTACGACTGAAACTCTACAAAAGCTACAAAAAGAACTCGGGTAAGTAGTATCACCTGAATTTATCTTTTAATACAGATAGTAGTCACTGTATTATGCGTTCAGATTGTGAATTGCCATCTCCAGTAGCACTCCAAACGAAAAAGTACCATCCTGAACTGTCCCCCCTTCGAATAAATCCGCCATTAGCTGGTAAATGCGTGCTTCCTCCTCATCAATACGGCCCTGAAATGCCATTTGAGCTGCCATTATTTCGTCCAAACTGTGCTGTATATTATCGAGCACCTTCCGCATCTTCTCCAGCTCCTCGAGTCTCGCGCGCGTCAACTCACGTGCCAAAGTTCTCGTGTCCATATCGATGTCGAAATTGAGAGTAAATCAAGAAAAACAGCAAGTGTGAAAATATTTGTGTTCTTCACATAATACATGTGGCTTACATAAGTAAAGAATCCCTATATTTAGAGAAATTCGATGATGGAGGACACGTGGCGTTGGGTAATTTAAAATATATTACCGAGTGTTCGGCGTGTTATGGTTGTTTTTGGGTCTAAGGTTGCCACAAATCGTGTCAAGGCGTTGTAAGTAAAGTTGCGGTAACGCCATTCAAGACGTGCGGTATCCATTCAGAAATAATCTACATTTTGGTCCTTATTGCGATTTGTGTCTGCACCAATGCAGAAAAATGACGAACGGGACTATTCATTCAACAAGCATTTTGAAGGGCAACCCGAACGGGAAGTGAAGCCACTTGCTTGACCTTGAGTCCACTGGTTGGGCATGCCGCCCTGAGCACGGCCACTTGAGTTGCCCTTGATCTATCTCTTTCGACTTTGCTCAACACCGCCCCACTCAGGTCACTTCCGAATTCGCGTCGTCGCCCCCACTCCGTTCGACTGTATCCTGACACCTCCACAATGGCTCCGCTGTCCCGCTTCGCTTTCGCCGCTTCGACGCTTCTACTCGCGTCGATTGTTTCGGCCGCCGACGAGTGTTCGTCCAGCGTGAGTGAGACAATCATCGCAACTATCGACAACAGCACATACTACGACACGTGCGCGGTGGAGGACGAAGGCGTGACCTTCAACATCTCCACGCTCTTCGATGTGCTCAACTTCACGGACTCCGAGTTCCTACTGTTCTGCAACTCATCGACGTGTCTTGAGCCTGTCCATGAGATGCTTCACTCGATCCCGTCCGACTGCCTCATCCTGTACGAGGGCACGGAACGCAATCTGTCCGAAGAGGTCTCGGCACTGCACGAGGAGTGCCACAAGGTTCTAGGCACGGACGATGACGACGACGACACCACCGACAGCGATGACATGTCCATGAGTATGACTATGAGTATGAGCGGTATGGACATGGACGGCACCACCAGCTCCAGCACGGGTTCCAGTCCAGCGTCCACCGTCAGCAGCGCTTTCATCGCGGGTGCAATTGCTGGCTGCACCGTTGTCGCCGCTATGCTTTAGGAACGATAGTTCACAGATAAACTCGAGCTTAATGCCAGCACTGTTCTAGTAACGTGTAGATTGATAAAATGTTTTTTGTCTGCCAGCTACGCCTGAAGATGTGGCAGTCGTGATACAGCGGAATAGGGAAATACTCTTAAGCCAGGAAGGCGGCAAGGATGGCAGCAGAGACCACCGAGCCCACCGTCATCGTCACAGACGACGCGTCGGAGCTGCCAGAAGCGGAGGCCGTCGAGCCCGAGCTTTGGGCGTGTCCGTCCATGTCCATATCCAAGTTCGCCGCGTCGAGGACCTCGTGGCACTGGTCGTGGAGCTTCGAGACCTCGTCCGCCAGGTCACGCTGCGTGCCCTGGTACGTGATGAGGCAGTCGACCGATCCCATGAGTTCATGAACGGGCTCAAGGCACGTGGACGAGTTGCAGAACGTCAGGAATTCCGAGTCCGTAAAGTTGAGCACGTCGAACACCGAAGAGATGCTGAAGGTCGTGCCCTCCACGCACGTGTCGAAGTAGGTGCTGTTGTCGATAGTGGCGATGAAGGCCTCGCTGACGTCGGCCGAGCACTCGGAACCGACGGTGCCTGCAGTGGCAGAGCCCGAAGACGACGAATGTTCGTGACCCTCGTGGGTCGCACCCGATGAGTGCTCGTGTCCCTCGTGGGCCGAGGCGACGGCAGCCGACGCGACGAGCAGCGTAAAAGAGAACTTGGCCATTGTTAGGGAGGAGCGACTTGAGGCGGATGCGGCGAAAGCGAAAGTGTGCCCTGATTAATTAATGCGCATGATTGTGGTACTGCACTTGCTGTACCCATGTTCTCTAACTGACGGAAGCAATTGTTGATTATCACTCGAGCTTACCACCACTCACTTGCTGCAACGCATCCATCTGGGTAGAAACTCTGTGAACGCGGATAGCCTTGTTGAATGGGCAACGCGAACTCTTCCGTAGTCTCCAGAACTGGACTGGAGTCCAGTGGCATGGAAAACTGATTCCACTAAGGCAGGCCCTTCATTACGTCCAAGTCTAGTACAATGCATGTGATAAACCTTTTCAGTCGGCGGCAATGTGTACTTGTATGTTATGGCTTCGCGTAAACCAGATACCGTGCGCGTTACGCAGCTTGAGATATCAGCTCATGTTTATCAGATTGTTCGAGCCATGATGCAGGAGGCGATTAAATAAGTGATTCCTCTGGTATTCGCGCGAGACACTCAAGTAAAATTTGTGGATGGCAGCGTCTGCATGTCGAAGTGGAAGGCCACATGAACTCAATCCCATCGGTACTGCTGTCAGGTGTAACACGCTTCAGCACCGACAAAGCGTAAAGCATTGCGGTATACAGTACACTGTACGTTGTCGCACGGATACGGAAGGCGGCTAAGCTTGAGCTCAGCTGAAAATTTGAGCCACTGCGGATTGAGCCGTGATAGGGATATCTTTGGTTCCTCGGGTGTGACTTCACAACACCTCCGGACCTGAGCGAGTTGCCAGCCACAGCTCGAGTTTCTCGTGTGCCAACACAGCAGTCTTCCCTCCTTCACCTCCGATCCCAAACTCTATCATGAGAGAACGCCGTGTTCGCACTTTGCCAAGACGATCTTGGGAAGCGAAACTCCGTGTCCGGCGAACGTAGCAAAATGTGCACTGTCTCCTGCAGCAAGACTTACTCCACAATGAAGCCCACCTCCTCGCCTTCACCATGTTCACGAACGCTCTTCGCGATTTTGCAACGCAATCGCACGTCAAGCTATAGCGACCGGGCAGTTTGTTGCGCCGGCCGGTGCCCGCGATCGCGAATGTCGCCGAGTGGTTACCAGTTGTCGGAGAATCCAGGGCTTACCAATAACCATGACCAAGCGCTGGCAACAGCAGTGGCGCGATGACGGTCAAGTTGACCACTTCGGTCGCAGTAGCATGAGGGACGAACGAGCGAAGATTCGGTATACGCCATCGCCGCAAACTTCGAACGGCTGGCCGACTTGAGTTTTTCTGCTTGGGTCGGTAGCTCCTCCTGGAATAAGAGTGCCCGCGTGAATGAGGCAAGTGTCGTGACGTGCACTTTCACTGTCCGTCGTCCAGTTGTCCGACAACTTCAACGTGGTCGATGAGCCATGCCGCCGGACTCGACAAAAGCTCGCAACAGGTACCTTCGAGTCGAAGTTTCGGACGGCACTTCAACGCAACGCGGAGGGAGTGTCGCTTGATGGTGCTGCCTTCCTCGCAGTTCTGCGACTGACTCTCGATTGTTGCAGGCGTTGATGCCGCTCAACGACTGGCCGTGCTGCGTTCTCGACAAGCTTGGTCAGCCTTCGGGAGCATGGCGCCCCTGGCACAAGAGGCAAATCGCAGACGGGCGGTTGGAGACACGCTTGCAATCGAACGCGAATGCAATTCGCGCATTCGAACACTAACACGCGCCTTCAGTTTTCCGTGTCTACTGTGGCTAACTAACCGCCACGCAGACACGGATACGCGTACACCGACATGAACTTACTTGGACGTCGACATGCATCATTCAAGGGTGGGCCACGGACAATGGCGGCCGACACGCTCCTGTTTGTCATCAGTATCAACGATGCAGCCTATCCATCGCTTGCAGTTTTTTATGCAATGCAAACATACAGAGCACGGCGCAAAGATTCTTCACTGCAGGTGGCCCAGATGTTCCTCTCGCGCCTTCCTCGCTGGAATGAATACAAACGCACACTGTAAATGCCCGAGAAGGTGATGACATGGAGCTCATCAGCAACCTCCACGCGCTGGTGTAAAAGTGTTCGAGTGCGGCACAGTTGGACCAGATGAAGCCACCTTTAGCAGACACGCAGGGGTGGCTACGGCGGGGGACATACGGCGCTGAACAATCAGAGTTGAACCACTCAAGTCCCACGGGTACTGTAGAGACATTGGTTGCAGTCTGAGTATTCTTGTAGTCCATGTAGCATACGGAGCCGCCTTCGGAAACCTGTTGCATGCTTAGCGCCGGATGGCGATGACGTGAAAAACTCTCGACCACCTTAGCCTTGTGATGAGTCCTGCATGGAGAGCACCCCATGTCAACCGAAAGAACGAACACCGAGTAACGAGTGGTTAGGAAATACCGTACATGTAGCTGTAAGGGTGGTGAGGAACAACGATCGATTGAAGAGAAGCAAGTGTATCGAGTTGAGTTTAAGAGGAATATATATACAACGCTCCACTCTTGTTCATAAACTAATGTATCTATCACTCACGATAACAAGTCCAGTCGAGATAATAGCTCGACTGCATGTGCTTAGAGGTACAGCAGCACGGGCTGGTCGCTCTGAAGGCGGTACTGGTCCTGGGACTGGTCAACGGGCGCGACAGATGCACCGGGGTTCTCGTCAACAAAGAGGCACTGGAGGACGTCCAGAATTTCGTGGTCCGATACGTTGGCAGCCTGGGGAACACTGATGCTCTGCTCGGCGGGGCTTACGGTGGTGGTGGCGGTGGAGGCAGTGCTCATCGACCACGGGGCGTATTCGGCGACGGAAAGCGGGCTCGGACGGGCAAGCGGGGCGCGGAGCTGAGGCGGTGCGGCAGCGCGAGCGGCGGCCACAGCTCCAGGCGGGTGCTGCGTGCGCAGGTGGCGCGTAAGGTTGCCGGCCGTGCTGAACGTCTTGCCGCAGCCTTCAACGACGCAGATGTGCGCAACGCTGCCGAGGTGGTTCTGCAGGTGACGAGCGAGCTTCTCCGACTTGGTGAAGATGCGCGTGCATCCCTCCACCGGGCACTCGAGCTTCTTGAGCAGATGAAGGCGGCGGTGGCGCGCCAGGTTGCCTGAGGTGCTGAAGCGCTTGGCGCACGAACGGATCGCGCACTGGTACGGCTTCTCGCCCGTGTGGGTCTTCATGTGCTCACGCAGGGTGAACTTACGCTGGAAGCGGCCATTGCACGAAGGCACCGGGCACTGGAACGGACGCTCACGCTCCTGCGTGGGGGCCGGTGCAGCCGCGGGGGCGGCAGTGGCGGTAGGGGCAGCAACCGTTGTCTTGATGTGGTCCATGTTAATGAATGTGGAAGTTGTTCAACTGCTTTTGCTAGTGCAGACGGTCACGGACGCTTTGGTCGCTGTGAGGTGGAAGGCAAGTTTGAAAGTGAGCTCACCAGAGGCGCAGCTTTTGGCTCCGTATCCTCCAGGAGGCTTGCCCTGCCCTCCCCGCTGGCCGGTCCATTGACAGGCCCGTTACTGCGCTGTTGCTGTTGGTCCGCTGTGACTTGCTGCCAGCAGCAGGTTGGCCAGTCCCTGCGCCACGCCACAGCTTGAATGGTCTAGGCGGGATTCCAGGCTGTAAGCGGGTCGCCGTGCAGAGACAGCCAAGTTCGTGGCGTTGTCGACCAAGTCGCAGCGAGGATAAAAATGTTCAAGGTGTTCAACGGGTGAAATGATGGCGAAGCGCTTGAATCTCCCAAAGTCCACCGAGAAACCAACCCGGGGAAGAGCCAAGGCTAGTGTAGAGCAGCGGAGGAGCACGTCCCCCTCCGTTCGCGAAAGCCATGTGGGGCGGCCTGTAGCAAAAGGGAAGACAGGGTCAACACCATCCTAGTGGAAACCGTGGCTCGTTGACTTGCTGATTGGAAGATCAGCGCTTCTCTATGGTAAATATGGTAAAAGTGCACTTGTCGAGCACCATGGAAGTGGTCGGATACACTGCTACAAATTGCACGCTTGTAGACCAAACTGTATAACCACTGAAAGGTGGGAGACCTCCCAGGAAGAGAGCCTGCTTGCCACCATGGTCTCCGAACGTGTACAGTAAGTAGCCATCCACGGATATACACATACATCCAGCCCCGAAAGCAGCGCTGTCACACGCATTGGGTGTCATTACCTACGCCGATCTAATGACGCGATACATGTACATGTACAACCTTGGTCGGTTCAAAGTGCACTATGCACGAAGGTGGCTACACGTTGAACAGATGACGCTCCTCGAGCGTCGCGACGAACTCACGCGTCTTTCCAAACGCCCTCATGCCGCGTCGTCCCTGGAAAAATATCGTGGTGTCTTCAACGTCGCTTACGGGCATTGCGTACACCTGAAACCTCCTGAAATCACCGCAAATTTTGGACACCTAGCAACATGCAGCAGCCTTTTCATTCGCTTCGAGCCGCATGTGTATCTAATATGTACAAGCATTGTACAAATTTGAAGCAACGCGGCTGTAAATACGTAACTCGTTACAGAATTGCGACGCCTTTAAAACTATGTTTGCGCTGCTCGACTACAGGTACATACTATGATACTGTGCATGGCGTGAGAGCACTACCAATTCCAACCTCTGCAGCAGCTGGAACGATGACTTCCAGCCGAAATGCGAGGGTGAATGGAAGTGGGACCTAAAGCTCGATATACAGCGAGCCTGTATCCATGTGCGGGGCGCTGCCAACCGGAGTTCGGTCCGAATAGAGAAGTTGATGCTACTGTCAGCAGTTCAAGCCTGTAAAGTTGATGCTTCTGTCTGAGGACCGACCAGCTTCGTCTGTGAAAGCCGGTTGGCCCTTTGGTATTTGTCCTCGCTGGTGTGAGATGCGCCGCGTTAGCTGCATGGCCATTCCGCTTGACTCACCCAGCGGATACTGTGTCTGAATATTTTCAGTGCTTTCTTCTATAGTGGAGTAAACTGCAACGGACGAGCGATACTCTACCATACTCGCCCGCAACGGCGACGCGTCCCAGGCTGGGCGTCTCGGCGTGCACTACATCCGCACGTGCAGACGACATTGCTTCCAGAATCAATCGGCGAGTCTTCAGTTGGACCGGCGACTGGAGCGCCCTTCCATTCGAAGGGAGGCGAAACCAAAGCAGCATGCAGTGTCCCACCAGGTTGTCCTGATTACAAGCGTGAAGCACACCCCCGTCGCAAACGTGCAGCGCAAAAGGCATCTGTTTCTCGAGTACATGCAAAGAAGTAAGCAACTTGTGACCATGAGGACTTGGCAGGGGCGCCCCATGGATTCTAGGTACCTATGTATCAAAAGTATCCGCTACGCTCGACAAGTCGAAGTCGCGACACTCCATTCCGAACGTTTGTTTGGATATCTTCCATGTCGACACCGACACCTGTCGACACTCGGTCAACAAACGCGTGTACTACAAACGCGCAGGTCGCAGCGTATAGCTACAGTAATGGCATCCATGCTGCCTTGAACGTTACCCGCCGTTCCTGCTGATCATCGTGCAGCGTGATCGAGCGACGCCAGGTCCACAAAGGTGGTGCTCTCTAACCTTTTTTAGGCCAGACACAGCTGGAATACACCATGTACTACAGTATTTTTCAATTGAGTGTCCTCTTCGGCCGAAGCTAAAGGTGTTGCAGTGGAACACCACATGGGACGCTACCCTATTGCTGCTTAGCAGAGGGGGAGGGGGCACTTTCTTGGCTAGCACGCGCTGCCGAAGGATCCCCTAGCAAATCGCTGCAACGCTGATAGCCGCGAAAATTTCGGTACCATGAACATGTAAAGTTAACTGCCCCGCGATTACGTCCCATAGCGCTGCCGTCTGATCGAAGCGACAGATCAAATCGCCGGCTGTGTGCCATTATTGCCGCCACGTTGCATGGACTTGATCCTTTTGGCCTTTGACTCGGATAGGCGTGTGTGAGTTTTTTTTACTTGCAAGAGTGATTTGCTACAACCGAGCGATAGCTGGATTACACCTCGACGAAGGTGAAAGGATCCAACCTTCAACATGCATGATCCTTCTCCGCGAAATGGATGTTCGGCGATTGTTTTTCGGGGAGGTTCCCGTTCCTGCCCTGCGTGAATGTCAACTTCACGTTCAACGCTTGCTTTTGTTAGCTTGATTTGCAATGTATCTTCCTCGAGACTGACACGAAAGCTTCCTGTCTGTCCTCGGCTTACCTAAAGCGCGTGCAGAGTTATCGAGCTCGCACGGTAGCAGCTAAAGGTACTTGGTCTCGTGTGTACGCGACTTGAAGTGTACAAGGTACATTTGCATCGAGCAAAGCTTTTGCGGAGGTCGTGACGGCCATTTTACTGTAACAGCATGCGAAGAAGAAAATGAAGTTATAAACTGCGTGTTCACCTTGCAAAGCTAGCGTAGCGTGCACGCTTTGCTGCTGAGGAATTGAACACGAGATGACAGAAATGGATCATGAAAACCTCGGCACTTCTAGCCGTTTGGATTGATAGTTTACGAATAATGGTTGCATGACAACCCCCTCCATGCAGTTTACTCTCTACAAAGCCTAAAATTCGTACGTAGCCGTAAGGTACGGCGCCTGGGATTGTTGCTGAGGGGCCCTGTTCTCGCGTGGGGGCTCCAGTTTCGGCAATCTGTCCCTGATAATGGCAACATTGTGGTGACCGTTAGCCTGCGCCGCTGCAGCGGCCTGGGCGTTCTCGACGAACAAGCAGTCGAACAGATCCTGCACGTCCGACTCCAGAATGCGTTGTTGGGGAGGGTGCTGCTGTTCGACGGGCGGCTGTGGCGGCCAAAGCAGACCACGCATAGGTAGCGAACCGGTCGGAGGCGGGGCTCTGCCAGGGAACTCAAACCTTGGACGGGGTAGCGTTGGAATTGGTCCGGACGGAACGGGAAGAGCTTCCTGACGGGTCGAAGGGCCGGCACGGTGCTGCGTGCGCCGGTGTCGGGTCAGGTTACCGGCGGTGCTGAACGTCTTCCCGCAACCAGCAAAGTCGCACGTGTGTGGAGTGCGTGCGAGGTGGACTTTCAGATGAGGCACGAGCTTCTCGCGGCTCGTGAAGACACGTGTACAATGCGCAGCGGGGCAACTGATCTTACGCATCGCGTGGAGCTTACGGTGGCGGGCCAGGTTGCCTGACGTACTGAAGCGCTTGCCACATTCCGCCACGGGGCACTGGTGTGGCTGTTCACCAGTGTGCGTCTTCAGGTGTTCATGAAGTGTGAACTTGCGGTGGAAACGTCCGCCACAGCCAGGAACCGGACAGGCAAACGGTCGGTCCTCCGACGGAGCCGCACGGCGAGACGTGCCCGTTCGGCGGGGCGGCGCGGCACTTGCATTCGCATTGGCATTGACGTTGACGTTGGCACCAGGGGCGAGATTGGCAATTGCACCACTCGGGAGATTGGCATGCGTGTTCGGATCTTGCTGTTGGTGCTGGATGACAGTGCTGCGCTGCAGGTAGAACGGGGGGTCCCGCGAGTTGTCACTTAGCATGGCTTGCATTTTTATTGTCTCTCGGCTCGAAGTGGTAGTGGTGGGGCTGGGGAGGAAGCGGACACGTAACACCGTTCGCGCTGATTGAACAGTGGCTCTCCTCGCCTCAAGCTGGTACGTTCGAGAATACAACGGAGGCTGGGATAGCTGTTGTCGCTTTGGCTGGTTTGCTGGGGCTGTCCGCCGCGCCTCTGCGTCGGTCTGGTTTGGTTTGTTTGCGGGGCCATCAACGGACTCGTCCAGACCATTCCTGGCCGTGAATAGGGGCGCTGAATTCGCATTGGATAGGACACATCATATGCTTGCATGATTATGGCTTTGCTGGCTGTTTGTCATTGCTGCACAGTCTGCTGCTGCCAGTGTCCAGAGCTCAGGTTTTCGAGCGCGGATGGACGGACGCCATGCAAATCTGCCACGCTCGAGTGCAGCCATCCGACACAGACACTGCCGCTGGACACTGGCACTTATGCGATGCGTGACGCTGCCAAGTTGTTTTTCCCATGCCTGCAGGAGACAGCCGGGAACCGTGGATAGGCGACCGGGTACTTTTATCTTGGAGATTTGCAGGCTACAGCGAAGACTGCAAGTTGGCTGACGGGTTGGCACCGTCCGTCCCGCCGTCGGACAAGCCCGGGCGCAGGCTTCTTTGCTGGAATATGGTTGCTCGTGTTGTTGGCACGGCCAGGTTGCCAGCGTGGTGGTCTTCGTGCGGCCTTGAGTGCTTCCGACCAAAAGATGGCATTCGTGTTGAGATCGCTTTAACCTTGAGTTGACCTGATACCGTGTGTCAATTGTTCACCATCGCGACGGCGAGCAATTCCTCTATGCTCTTGATCACAACGGGTGTTCTTGACAACACCAGAATCATTCATTCGCGGTCACTGCGGTGCCAGGACGCTCTGCAACGGACCGGGGCAACGCGCTTTGCTGCCGGCAGAGTCCGTTCTTCAGTTGTCAAAACCAAATCTAGAGCATCGAACCGTTTCCGAGTCCAGGATACCACAGGAAATTATTCGATTCCATGACGTGACCTCTTGACAAACGAAGTTCACTTGACTGCTTACCTATTACGGTATGGAGACGGCTGCTGTACGGTACCCAAGGCCGTGTGCGATGACAGTGGCGGTGCCGCTAAAGTGAGAGTGCTGATGCATCGAGGTGGTTGGGTGCGTGTTCGATTAATGGTAAAAAGGAACGGGGAATATCAACCAAAGTGATACATTAAGAAGGAGGCCAGTCATCCGTTCGGCCTTAATAACTTCATCGACACAACTACGCTCACTGGTGGTAAGCCCCGCGGAGGAATGGCTCGCTGCGGATGATGCCGCCCACATTATTGACAAGCGTCCCTGCAGGATTCTCGACAAACAGGCAATCCAGCAGGTCCCGCACATCTTGATCGGAGATGCGGTTGTATGAAGGTCTCGGTGCTACCGCTTCTTGGGGTGGTACGGCGGACCACACCGGGGCCTTCACGAGCATGGCACCAGGGACGACCGGGTACTGCACCATCCGGTTGGGAAACCCTTCCATGGGAAACTGACGCTGTTGCTGTTCAGGGAAAGGAAAGCTCTTTAACATGGGCGGCTGACGCGGAAGCTCCAGTCCAGCAGTACGGTTGGCTGGAGGAGCGTTGTGCCGCGTTCGTCGGTGCCGGGTCAGGTTTCCAGCCGTGCTGAAGGTCTTGCCACAGCCTTCGGTATTGCAGGTGTGCGGCGTGCCCGCGAGGTGGACCTTGATGTGTCTCATGAGCTTTTCGCGGCTCGTGAATTCCCTGGAGCAGTGCGGCGTCGGGCAATTGAGCTTCTGAACGGAGTGCAGCTTCCTGTGCCGTGCGAGGTTGCCCGAGGTGCTGAACCGCTTGCCACAGCCCTCAACGGGACAGTGGTGGGGCTGCTCGCCCGTGTGTGTCTTCATGTGTTCGTGTAGCGTGAATTTGCGGTGGAACCGGCCGCCGCAGGTCGGGATCGGACAAGCGAACGGCCGATCCTGCGACGGCGGAGCACGCCGTGACTCGGTCGGCTTCGCCGGCCGGCTCGGCAGGAGATTGGGTTGGTGCTCCTGGTGGTTGAGCATGGCTTGCATCGTTGCGCTCCCGTTTAACTTCGTGGATGCCTGGCAATTTGAATTGTAGGCGAGCTGGCGGACAGGGCAGTGGCGAATCAAAGTGCAAAATGCAGCTCGTGCAGAGAACGGAGGGTGGATCTCCTCACGGCACCAAACTCAGGATGGGGAAGCGGCTTCAGCGAGAAACCAGGTTTGCTGCTGTCCTGCAGAAGTTGATTTCATGGCGGTCTCACTTACCGGTGGGGCAACATGCACCTGCAGCGCGACGGCGTGGACCTCCTTGCTGTGATACCATTGCTAAACTCGATTGATTTTGCACGTCAGGCTAGAACTCATAGCGGGAGGCTTGGCTCTTTTTCGTTTTCGAGTAGCTGCGCGAAGCAGCTAAGCAAACAACTGTATTGTCATCGCTATCACCCTCCACGCCCCGTCCACTGCTTCAACACGAACAATTGATGACTCTCGGGGCTCGTTTCGCGCGGACGCTGGTGTCAATAGAGCTGGAGCTTTGAGGAAGACATTCGGTTATTTTATCTGGTCTTGGTTTCGAGGCAACGTGGGGTGGAACGCATTGCCGAGCATTTCCAAACGGTTGGCGGAGGCTACCGCAGCGTACCAAGTCGTCCAGGACATGCACATCGCAGATCGCACTTTGTCATAATTTGTGCATTTTCGCTAGGCTCGTCATTTACACGTAGATGTAGAAGTCACGACGTCGAGCGGTCTGAGTTGGCTACATGCACGAAATGGAGCACAGACCTGGCGTCTCCAAGACGCATCGGGTGTTGACCGGGGTATAGATAGTCTGAAGCGCGAGATCCACTTGGAGTTTTTGTGGTTACGAGTATCGGACCCGCTTGAACTCCCACTTCTTAGCTGTTGAAATCAATGTCGGACGTCGATCTGGCGAACTGTAGCGCATTGCCGACACAAACCCCGCAGTCCACCAAGAAACGCGGACGTCGTGGTGCTTCATCCACACGTAGAAAATTGTAACACGGGCTCGTAAACTTCGCACAGGTTGTACGTACATTAATACAGGTACGTACGTGCGGTAGGATGCAGTTGGGGTAGTTAGAGAGATGCACTTTTACCAAGCAGGGAACTCCAACGCGAAGTTTGCAGTACATGTACGCGAAAAAAAAAACTGCAGAAGATCGCGTTCGGTTTTGTAAGCAAATCTAATGGCGAGGTCAAGTCTCTGCAACGTGCCAAATTGCCAGTCGCATGTACACTTAAGTACTTCGCAGTTCCAACATGAAAATGTCAAGGCGATTGATCACCTCGAAGCGGCTGTGCATTGCCAGTGCCTACAGTCGTGCATCGAACCGAGAGAGAAAGAGATTATCTTCTCTGCACAGGATGCCGTGAAGACGATGCTCTGCTCTGCTCCCATCTCTCCAATTCTTCGCGCTCCGGCTCACGTCCCACCGGAAACGCATCTTCAAGGGTTGCTACACGGCAGGCAAATCCAACTTATCGTTCGACAATTAAGAAAAAACTTTTTTTGCTTAGCATCTATACAGAGTTGTTGCTGTGAGGGTCTTTCGCCATCTTTCCGTCGTCCACCGGGTCAATGCCAGTGGTCTGAACATGCTTGGCGTGCTCCATCTTCAGTGCTTGATCGCGCATACGGGCGCCGATGCGCTTGGCTTGCGTCACCTTGTACAGGACAGTAATGAAGGTGGCCACACAGACCACGCCAGCGATCACAAGAGAGACGAGGATCGGAGGGCCGTACAGGTTGTCGCCGTCTTCGTTGCTAGCCGTTTCCGTGCATCGCGGCCCGGTCCACGAGTCCGACGAGCACTCGCAACGGCCGTCCGAGTTGCACGTACCCGTCGTCACCGCCGAGGACCCACTAGTCGAGATAGTACAGTCGTCGTCCGAGTTGCAGAACGCCATACCCGATACTGTCACAACCAGGTTGTCGTCGTCCTGGTAGTCGTCGATATGGTCCTCAATCCACTGCTTGGTCGGGTGGGTGGACGGATCGCATCCGTACGCCATCGACGAGCCTGCGGACATGTCCTGGTACACGCGAATGTAGTCGATCTTCATGAACATGGGGAACGCGTCGCAGATAGCGTTCGTCTTTTCATCGGTGCCGTCGCCGTAGCAACCGCTCGAGCCGGCGTTGGGCGGTTTAGAGCCCCACGAACTCGACAACGCAACGTTGAAAATGAAGTACATTGGTTCCTCAACCATGAGCTTCTTCGGGTTCATCTGTGTCGTGTCCTGAGGCGGATTAGTGACTGATTCAGCTGGGATCTCGAAGATAACCTGTCCTTCCACCTCCCAACGAATGTAACCAGAGTCGCCCGTAACCCACTCCAGCGAATACGTAACCCAGTCCAAGTACGCCGCCATGTGCACTTCCCAATTGGAAGAAATAGCGTCCATTTGGTACGTGAACTCCGATCCCGAGCTCGTGGAGCCTCCAGATTCAGTACATTTCGACCCAGTGTTACCGGCGTTGCACAGATAAGCACCCGTGTAAGCGTTCTGCTTGGGGAAACACGTGCCGTTCGTGTTGACTCCCCAGTGTACCGTTCCATTGTCCTTGAATCCCAAGTCCGCGTTCACGTCGTACGACGCCGGACACAAATCCATCGTGCACGCGTTCTCCGTAATGCCCTTAGTCACCGACGCGTTGATAGTAGCGAAGCTCTGGACGTCCTCACTCTCTACATCGCACAAGTTATTGGCGGCGTAACGGAGTCCCTGATACCACGACTTGTGGCCACGTAAGTTCCAGTAATACTTGGTCGGCACGTCCTGGTTGTTCGCGCCTTCGGTGGTACAGTCGTAGCTGTACAAACAGTAAGCTGACGTGTTGTCCGCGATGATACGGAAGTCATCGGGCATACCCGGTCCCACCTGGATCGACGAGGAGATAGCTGTACCTCCTCCTTCGAGAATATCAATCTCCGGTGCTCCACGACCCTGGTTCGGGTTCATACCGGAGCCCGGGTTGTCGTCACAGGCACTGATGCGTTGGTTCTGCGAGTCGAAGATGGTCTCGTTGCATTCATTGTATGAGAACGGCCACATACGGGCCGTGGAACCCGTGAAAATGGCGCGGCCGAGGTTACCCATGAGCCAGATACCGGGCCACGTCGGGTAGTAGTCGATATTAGTGGCACGCACACTGGTAGATCCGGATTCAATGTCCGGGTTGCCCGACGCATTGGTCACGGCGCCGGGTAGTTGGGCCCGGACCGTGACCAGACCGCCTTGGAAACAGAATTTGTTCCAACCCTGAACCATAGCAGACCGGTAGTAAAACGTCACGTCCTCAAAGCCTGGGGGCGAGATGTACTCGTTCCAGACTGTGAGGTTAGTCTCGTGGATGTCCGATTCGATGTAAAAGTAGCAGTGGCCGTCGTCGTCACAGGCCGTTCCTGTCATATTCGGATAGTAGATTTCGAGAGCAGCATTCACACCGTCCGGCTTGTCGATAGCCGTCCAAAGGTGGTCCTCTCCGGCGTCGAAGCTGCGTCCTTCCTTGTTAAACTCGTCGCTCATGATGAGCGTCCACGTCTCGCCGCGCGACGACTTGTGCGTCTGCGCCTTACTGGGCGTATCCACGTCCACCCATGGTAGAACGCCCGATTTGGTCTCATACGACTTGGTGGTGGTTGACGCGCCATAGGCAGCGGACGCCATGACGGACAAGACCGTCACAACGCGTGACATGGCTGAGTGGGTACCTAACTGTGACGGAACTATCTGCCTGGG